CGGCTCCCCGCAACCTCTGCCTCCTGGGTTCAGGCAATTCTCCTGCCTCAGCCTCCTGAGTAGCTGGGATTACAGGCACGTGCCACCATGCTCAGCTAATTTTTTGTAGTTTTAGTAGAGACAGGGTTTCACCATGTTGACCAGGATGGTCTTGATCTCTTGACCTCGTGATCCACCCGCCTCAGCCTCCCAAAGTGCTGGGATTACAGGCGTGAGCCACCGTGCTCCGCCGCATCCGTGGTTTTCAACCCTGGGTGCACATGTGAAACATCTTGGGTACTTGAAAACCACCTATGTCTCAGCCCTACCCTAGAACAATGAAATCTATCTCTGGGTGCAGGGCCCAGGCCACTGTATTCTTACAAGTCTCCCCAAGTGTGGCCAGGTACAGTGGCTCATACCTGTAATCCAAAAACTTTGGGAGACCAAGGCGAGCAGATCACCTGAGGTCAGGAGTTCGAAACCAGCCTGGCCAACATGGTGAAGACCTGTCTTAACCAAAAACACAAAAATTAGCTGGGCATGATGGTGGGCACCTGTCCCAGCTACTTGAGAGGCTGAGGTGGGAGAATCACTGGAACCCAGTAGGAGGAGGTTGCAGTGAGCCAAGATCTCACCACTGCACTCCAGCCCGGGAGACAGGGTAAGACTGTCTCAAACAAACAAACGACAACAACACAAAAAATAATGCAAAGGTTTTCATCTGCAGACAGGTCCACCTACCAGGCTGCAATAACATAACAAACATTGAAAAGCCAAGACTTACCCTTGGTTGACTCTCCTGGAACTATCTTATTGGGTATTAAATAGCATGATGCATTGCATAAAGTCACAAAGGTTGCAAGGATCACAAGTCTTCCCAGGAGAACGTTCTGTAATGTGAAAAAAGGTCAGGATGAAGAATGAATTAATTCAGAGGATAATCCCTTACTGAGTGCTGTGTACCAGGACCTCTGCTGGGCTCTGGTAGAGGTTATGAGGTGGAGCTCCTAACCTCAGGTGACTTAGCGAGGGAATAAGACCCACACAAGTCACTAGCATGAACTACAGAAAGAGGCAAACAGGAGTCAACAGGCATAGGGCAGTAATGATATGTGGGCTGTTTCACTGCAGAGGAAGTTCAGGAGACCTTTATAGATAAGGCAATCTTTAGCCTCTTTGCAGAATATGTAAGAGTTAAAGGACAGAATGAGGAGTTTCATGAAAAGAATGAAACGTTAACAAAGATAGAGAAGAGAAGCAACAAACATATATAGTTGAAGGCTTATTGTAGTTAACTGGATTAGCTGGAGATATGACTGGAAAAATAGGTTGAGGCCACGCTGTGAACACAGAGGGTGAGGCTAGGAAGTTCATTTCCCAGATCATAAAGGCATCTTTGATGGCTCCATGAACAAACCAGTTAATCTGGGCTGAAATTGTAGAACAAGGAAAAGTATCTAGTTGACCTTGTCATCTTTTTGAGATGAGCGAAATAAACAAACTTTAATATGGTAATTTCTGGGAACTCTTGAAAGGGAAGATGGTGTTCAATGAAATATATAGGAGGCCATTGGTTTGGACTGAGCTCCTGCACTAGGCCGAATAGACAAAACCAAAACGCAGTTGCCCATGCTGAAGTTCTCTGCTACTAAGCCAGAACTAAGTTGCTTATCCAACCTTCTAAGAAATCAGGAGAGACTGAGAGGTAATAGCCAAATGCCCAACAGGCCAGTTTTAGCTGACATGATAAGAAAGTCCCTTCTGCTTTAACTTTTATAAGCAAAGTCACCTGGAAAAGACCAATTCAGTTTCCGTTCTATGTTTCTGCTTTCTCTGGCTCTATTCTGTCTATAAAGGCAAACCTCTCTGGTCAGCTCTTTAGAACACGCCATCTATTTTATGGAATGAGGTGTTGCCAGATTCTAGACTCACAAGTAAAAGCCAAGAAGGGCCAGGCATGGTGGCGCATGCCTGTAATCCTAGCACTTTGGGGGGCTGAGGCGGGTGGATTGCCTCAGCTCAGGAGTTGGAAACCACCCTTAGCAACAATGGTGAAACCTGTTCTCTACTAAAATACAAAAAAATTAATCAGGCATGGTGGCATGCACCTGCAATCCCAGCTACTCGGGAGGCTGAGGTGGGAGAATCACTTGAGCCTCGGCGGCAGAGGTTGTAGTGAGCCAAGATTGTGCCCCGGCACTCCAGCTTGGGCGACAGAGTAAGACTCTGTCTCAAAAAAATAAATAAATAAAAATAAGATCTTTAAACTAAATATGTTGTATTTTTGTCTTTTGACAATGGGAATGAAAGCATTTATTCTGTAAGATTTCTAAAATTAATTATGAAGTGATGCTACTTGAAGTAGTATGTGACTCATATAAGAATAGAAAGGCCAGGTGCGGTGGCTCATGCCTGTCATCCCAGCACTTTGGGAGGCTGAGGTGGGTGGATTACCTGACACACTGTGTCACAAAATAAAATTACAAAAATTAGATTGGTGTGGTGGTGTGCCCCTGTAATCCCAGCTACTTGGGAGGTTGAGGTGGGAGAATCACTGGAGCCCAGGGAGGTTGAGGCTGCATTGAGCCATGACAGCCCCACTGTACTCCAGCCTGAGTGACAGAGTGAAATCCTGAGTTTGAGATCAGCCTAACCAACATGGAAAAACCCTGTCTCTTCCAAAAATACAAAACTAGGGAGGCATGGTGGCGCATGCCTGTAATCCCAGCTACTCGGGAGGCTGAGGCAGGAGAATCGCTTGATCCCGGGAGGTAGAGGTTGTGATGAGCCGAGATCATGCCATTGAACTCCAGCCTGGGCAACAAGAGTGAAACTCCGTCTCAAAAAAATAAAAAGAATAGAAAGATAGGGAGGGCACAATGGCTCACTCCTATAATTCCAGCAATTTGAGAGGCTGAGGCAGGCAGATCACTTGAGCTCAAGAGTTCAAGACGAGCCTGGGCAACATGGTCAAACCCCATTGCTACCAAAAATACAAAAATTAAGGCATGGTGTGGTGGCTCACACCTGTAATCTCAACACTTTGGGAGGCCAAGAGGGACAGATCACCTGAGATTGGGAGTTTGAGACCAGCCTGACCAACATGGACAAATCTTGTCTCTACTAAAAACAATATTAGCCAGGCATGGTGGCACATGCCTGTAATCCCAGCTACTAGGGAGGCTGAGGCAGGAGAATGGCTTGAACCCAGAAGGCAGAGATTGTGGTGAGCGGAGATTTTGCCATTGCACTCCAGCCTGGGCAACAAGAGCAAAACACTGTGTCAGAAAAAAAAATTACAAAAATTAGGTGGGTGTGGTGGTGTGCCCCTGTAATCCCAGCTACTTGGGAGGTTGAGGTGGGAGAATCGCTGGAGCCCAGGGAGGTTGAGGCTGCACTGAGCCATGACAGCCCCACTGTACTCCAGCCTGAGTGACAGAGTGAAACCCTGTCTTTAACAGTAAAAAAGACAAACACAAAGATCAAAATAGAAAACCCAGAAAGTTCCAAAGGTAGTTGGATAAGGTGAAAAAGAAAAATAAGAAAACCAGAAAGTATAAATATATGTAGAAGCCTATTATAAAATAAACATGGTCTTTGAGATCTGTAGAGAGCAATTATTCGATAAATGATATTAGAACAAGTGGTGAACTATTTGGGGAAGAAACAAAGTTAATTTCCTACTTGAGTCACCATTAGTGAAATAAATTCTACAAGGTTTCAAGGGTTAAATTTTTACAATGAGATCATAAAATAATCACAGCATATATACATAAATACTTATTCTAAGCATAAAAGAAAAAGATTTCAGAATATAAATATAAGAACATAATTGAAATTAGAAAGATTATCAAATTTGCAGAACAATATCACTATATACCAATGGGAGAAGAAAAACACCTTTTTTTCTTTTTGAGACTGAGTCTTGCTCTGTCACCAAGACTGGAGTACAGTGGTGCGATCTCGGCTCACTGCAACCTCCACCTCCCAGGTTCAAGTGATTCTCCTGCCTCAGCCTCCTGAGTAGCTGGGACTACAGCTGTGTGCCACCATACCCCGCTATTGTTTTGTATTTTTAGAACAGACATGTTTTCACTGTGTTAGCCAAGACGGTCTCAATAACCTGACCTCGTGATCCTCCCACCTTGGTTTCGCAAAGTGCTGGGATTACAGGTGTGAGCCACCATGCCCGGCCCTAAAAACACCTTTTTTTTTCTTTTTTCTGAGACAGAGTTTAGCTCTTGTTGCCCAGTCTGGAGTGCAATGGCATCATCTCGGGTCACCACAACCTCTGCTTCCTGGGTTCAAACGATTCTCCTGCCTCAGCTTCCCGAGTAGCTGTGATTACAGGCATGCACCACCATGCCCAGCTAATTTAGTATTTCTAGTAGAGACAGGGTTTCTCTGTGCTGTTCAGGCTGGTGTCAAACTCCCCACCTCTGGTGATCCACTAGACTCGGCCTCCCAAAGTGCTGGGATTCCAGTGTGACTACAGCACATAGCTGAAAAACATCTTAAACAGAAAACTGGCAAGAGAAATAAAGTGGCATTTCTCTCTCTCTCTCTCTCTCTCTCTCTCTCTCTCTCTCTCTCTCACACACACACACAGAGAGAGAGAGAGAGAGAGAGAGAGAGATAAATGATTAATAAACACATGAAAAACTTCAATTTACTGATAACAAAAGAAATATAAATATGTAGATCAAATAGAAACATAATGAAATGTCAAGAATATCTTGAATTTATAAAAACCAGAGAGAAACAGAGGTATCAATGTGAGGTGATATGCACAAGAATGACATACTTTGAACAACTGTTATGGAGAACAATATGCTACTATATATCCACATTCCTAAAACCATTTACAGCATTTGATTTCACCTTTTCATCTCCAAGATGTGATCCTAAAAATGGTACAGAGATGGACTCCTCCACAAGGATGCTCACTGCAGTGGAAAAAGTGGAAAGAAACCAAATGCCCAAGAACAGAGCTGGTGGAGAACAGTGACTCAGAAAAACACCTGGTGAGCCAGCAAGGTAGAAGGTGAAGTCACCTGAGCAAATGATCACGTGTCATTACATAGTGAAGCAGGCTATGAAATGCGTGATTCCCATGATGTGGAGAGAGACGCTCAGGACACACTGAAGGTTTTATACCAAATAACAAGTCATCTTTGAATGGTAGGATTATGACCATTTTCTTCTTTGGAATTTTCCTCTTATTTTCTAAATTTTCTACAATAAAATGTATGGAGTTTATAGCCAGAAAGAAAGAAAGTAAGAAATTCTGTAAACACAAGTCAAACCTCGATATATTCAGTTCAAGCCAGGACTTGGAGTGGCACTTATTCTGTTTCATTCTTCTTTTGCGTAACCTTCAGCTCAAAATCATTGTGGAAACATAAACATTTTTTCCCAAAAAAAAAAAAAAAAAAAGGCTTGTAGATACTTTTTTCACTCCCTTCATACAGAAAGAGGGCTCCAGGGGTACTGAGGATCACTAGAATCTTGGAGATCTTGTTTCACTCAGTCACAAAGCCGGAGAGTCAACAGAGACAAGCAGGGCTGTAGTGCAGGACAAGTGACATGTGCAAAATCCCCAAATCTCCTGCAGCTCTAGAGCAAAGGCACGAGATTGAACAACTGGGGATGGAGTCCAAACATGGTGACAGCAGAGAGAAAATTATTTCATTAAGAGATTTCCCACTTGACAGTATCTCAGAAATAGCCTGACACTGACTCTCTTTCTCTCTCTCTCTCTGAAGCTCAGTTTTCCTCCCCTGTAAAAAGAGGGGTTCTCCCCCTTGGGTAAGCATTAGAGTTACCCAGGGAGTTAATAGGAAACACACAATCTCAGGCTCCTTGAAGAAAGAAACAGCCAGTGCCTCCGTTTCTTTACCTATGTGAGAACCCAGGAACAATGCTCAACCCAGTGCTGCTTTAATGTGCATATAAATTCCTGGGCGGGTTTTTTGTTGTTGTTGTTGTTGTTTTTTGTGATGGAGTCTTGTTCTGTCACCCAGCCTAGAGTGTAGTGGCACAATCTCGGCTCACTGTAACCTCTGCCTCCCAGGTTCAAGCGATTCCCCTGCCTCAGCCTCCTGAATACCTGAGATTACCGGTGTGTACCACAATGCCTGCCTAATTTTTGTCTTTTTAGTAGAGATGGAGTTTCATTATGTTGGCCAGGCTGGTCTCAAATTCCTGACCTCAAGCGATCTGCCCGCCTTGGCCTCCCAAAATGCTGGGATTATGGGCATGAGCCATCGCGCCCGACCAGAGAGCTTATTCAATAACATGCAGATTCTGCTTCAGTAGGTCTACAGACTTACATGGAAGCTCCCAGGTGATGCCCACGCTGCTGGTCTGAGGCCCACCCCTGAGTAGAGAGGCTCTAAAGCTCCTTTTCATTCTTGTCTTCTATTCTGCCACCAGCCTTCTCTCCATTCCTATCTTCCTTTCCTGCATTTAGTAACCATGAGCCCCTGATGTGTGCAGACACAGGAGAGTACACCACCATGCCAGCATGGGCTAGGGTTTTCTAGATGGTGCAGCTTCATGGTCAGCCTTAAGGTGAAGCAGACTGGCAGTGCCCTTAGAAGCTATATCTCTTTAGGTAAATTACCGCTCCTGGAAGGGTCTTACCGCATGATCAAGAGTTAGGGGTCTGGTCAGACATAAACGGCTCATGCCTGTAATCCCAGGACTTCAGGAGGTCGAGTGGGGAGGTTCACTTGGGCCCAGGAGTTAGAGACCAGCCTAGGCAACATAGCAAGAACTCATCTCTACTAAAAATATGTATATATATATATATATATATATACACACACACACATATATATATATACACATATATATATATATCTGCAAAATGGTGTAAACAAAAAAAATAAGAAAAAAAAGAAAAAGTAAAATTAAAAAAAAAGCTTTTAAATTACTAAATAAAGACTTGGGGATCCTCAGGATCGCGGGCAGGCAGGGGTATTGCCAGCTGTGCAGCTTGCTAAGTTCCTGTGAAGCTGCATGGAGGATGGGCGGGAGGAGCCAGTCCAGTGGAGATGGGGAGAACCCCGAACCTCACTGTTGTTTTACCATCCCCAGTTCTGCCTCAGGACAGTTTCTGAGAGCATGTTTGTCTTCCAGCCTGACGCAGAGGAGGCCCAGGGTCCGCTCTTGAGGACCCGCTCCCTGGTTCCTCACACTTGGCTGGCTGCTTCTTGCCTCATCTCCCTTGCAGCCCTGAGAGCAGCCCAGCTCTTTCCCTGGTGTTAGTAAAGAACGTTTTCAGAAAGATGAAGTTTAAGATGCAAGAAAACCCTGCATAAGTTTTTATAAATTTTGAAGCAAAAGTCTTTCTTAGCCAGGCACAGTGGTTCACACCTGTAATCCCAGCACTTTGGGAGACTGAGCTGGGCAGATTGCTTGAGCCCGGGAGTTCAAGACCAGCCTGGGCAGCATAGTAAAATCCTGTCTCTACAAAAAATACAAAAATTAGCCGGGCATGGTTGCTGGCCTGTGGTCCCAGCTACTCAGGGAGCTGAGGTGGGAGGATCACCTGAGCGCAGGAAGGTTGAGCCTTCAGTGAATCCTGACCGCACCACTGCACTCCAGCCTGGGTGACAGAGTGAGACCCTGTCTTCAAAAACAAACAAACAAATAAAGCCCCCAAAACCAAAGATTCTTCCTTAACACAAGATACAGTGAAAAGGGCCTAGGGAAACTATTCTCAAACTTGAGTGAGCATTAAAATCTCCTGGGTAGCTTTTAAAATTGATGTCCTGTTCCCACTGCAGCCCAATTAAATCAGAGTGTTGGGGTGGGAGCCAGGTGTCAGTGCTCTTCAGAATTCCCCAGGGGGCTCCACTGCACAGACAAGTTTGGGAGCCCCTGGCAGGGAGAGAGGGATGCCTGGGTTCCTGTCTCAGCTCATTCACAGGCTTGCAGTGAGACCCCAATGGCACATTCTTCCCCTCCCCAGTCTCAGTTCCTTCATCTCAAATATGATGCAGTCATGTAGCTCTGAAATTACTTTTAATTTCACAAATTACTCACATAGAACCCAAGAATTAGAGACATCTATGAAACCTAATCAAACCACAGAATTACTGGAAGGAAAAACAACTTAGATCTTAGAGAACAGAACTAGTGCTAAATTCATTAAAAATTTCCCAAGCTCCAGACTCTCATACTATGAACATTGGATTGCAGGTAATAACAAAAGATTCCTAAATAGGTCACATTTACCATTCAATGCTGTGCAGTAGAAGCACACATCACAGCATATTAAAATAAGGACTACACATTCTTTTTTGCTTCTCTGGCCTTTATATATAAAACCAGTTACCTACCATCGTGACGAGCAGGACTCCTTACAGGCAGGTGCATCTAGGGAAAGTCGCATAAATCTTTTATACTGGAGAGGGCAACCACGCATTTGACATCATTGGGAATGATAACAAGGTGGGAACACATTGTGTGTTTACAGAGGTTCACTATCAACAGGAAAGTATGGTTTCAGATGATTTATGAGTTACTAATCAATCAGATCTCCACCCAAGTTATATGTTTACTTTGTCTCCACCCTGATCTGAATTTGCTCCTGACCTAAAAAAGCAGAGGAAAAGAGAACTCCTCTTTGCTGAGCCTTCGCTATGTGCTGGTGGATTGCTAGCATGTGATGTATGACATGTCCTTATTTAATTTCACACACAAAGAAACAGAGCCTTACGGGTGCCAGTCACAACAGCCAGGAGGTGAAGGTGGGCGTAAGAACAGCCCACCAGGCACACCAGGCCCACCAGGCCTGCATCTGTGGCCCAGTTGACACTGCCCTTAGGGTCTGGCATGAGAACAGAAAGGGGTCAAGCCATGCTGCAGGGCACAGAAGAGCAAGACCTACATACAGCTCAGGCTTCCCCGACAAGCTCAATCACTGGACCTTTGTAGAGCCCTCCTAGAATCCGTAGTCTACTCCCTGCTGCATCAAGCAAGCCTTCCTTCTCTTCATTCCACCGCGGTCTCCTCCCAAACAGCCGCACCTGCCCTCGTCATGGCCAGGACGGCCTTGG